GTGTAAGGAAAAGTGAAAGCACAACCCCAGACATGAAGATGTAGAGCGAAGGTTCACACCATCTGACAGAAAATGTACAGTGCAAAAGCCAGCCTAAAGAATAGGGCTCACAGATTGGAACACCACCCCATGATGGACAAACCAAAGATAAGGACGAGAAAGCTCTGATATAGGAACATGCAGATAAGCATTGGGGACGTCCATCTTTGTCATCCAAAGACCTGGAGAAAAAGCCTACCAAAGAGTAAGATAGGATTTCATGGTAAAGCATGGAGTGTGAACATATATGATTGAGAAAGGACAGGTTGATGACCAAGTTTGATAGCCTGTTGTGTGTTGAGATCTTGCACTGGCTTTGATAGATGCTGGCAAGACAAGGGATCCCGAGGAAGAGGAAACAGGCACAAAGAACAAGGGAGGAAGGGTAAGAATCTCTCTGACAAAACTTGATGAACTCAAACATTGGAGATGAAAGGACTCCACCAATGAATGAAGATCGCCAGACTAGCTCCAACCAGACCCGAACTTACCAGGTAGTCACCGGAACTGTTGTTGGCGTACCATGCATTGTCGTGAAAAACGATGAACAGGCAAGGGGAGGGTCAGGAGACAGGAATCAGTGCCATGCTCAGCTCTGACTGGGACAAACAGGCCACCAGATGAAGAGTAGATTGTTGTTGGACCAAAGCTACCCTCGACTCAAAAGACTCCTGGATCGTGTCAAACATGAAATGTCTCAAAAACAGGACCATAGGAAGGTCCTATAGATAAGGAGCCAGGAGATGGGTCCATAACAATATGGTATCACAACCCAAAAGGTCTCAACAAGAAACAAACCACGTTTGCACAGCCAGAGTTGAAGATGACAGGCAGGCCAATGTGGAAGTGAGGAGGAAGAGGACATCCCCAGAAAACCCCTCAGGGTTCCTGTGAAGAGCCTTAGATAGGAGACGGATTGAGGAGAAGTGCCTCAAAAAGTCGTCAGGGTAAGAGAAGGGGGGAATACTGGGCATTGGTAAGATGTATGGGAAATTTGCCCCCCCCTAAACAGGCAAAACTTAACCCAACAATTGTTTGTCCAGATATGCACAGTATTCCCAAGGGCAAACTGATCTGAACCCTGTGGGGCAAGACATACTAATGCCATCACTTTACTGTCATGTGAAATAGCTCAGTGTGAACCTGAATATCAGGGGAAGGGGGAAAAACTAAATAAGGT